GAGAGAGAGTCTTTTGGACAAAATTTATAAATTACTGTTCACATAGGGCAGAGAGCGTATAAATCGCCCAAATCCGTCTGAAGAGCAAAATGAGGAATACTCGAGGTCATAGATCTCAGGGCGAAGACACCGAGGTTCGATCTGTTGAGCAAGTTGTAATAAATACTGTTGCAACATAGAACAAGGCGACAAGAACCACAAATTCGCTCTGAAGAAGGCAAATAAGAGATACTCGAGGTCATAGATCTTGGCGCGAAGACTTCGAGGTTCATCAGTTGGCAAGTTGTAAATAGCTGTTCAACATAGAACGAAGCGACAAGATCACAATTCCGCTCTGAAGAGGCAAATAAGAGATACTCGAGGTCAATAGATCTCGGCGCGAGAGACTTGAGGTTCAATCTGTTGACCAATAAGAAATACTCGAGTCACAGATGCTCGGCGCGAAGACCTCCGAGGTTCGATCGAGTGTATAAATACTCCTCAACATAGAACAGAGGCGGCAAGATCACAAATTTCGCTTCTGTCGAGGCAATAAGAAGATACTCGAGGTCAATCAGATGTTGGGCGCGAAGACTTCGAGGTTCGATGCAGTTGAGGTCAAGTGTAAATAGCTGTTCAACTAGAACAAGCCACGAAGATCCACAAATTCGCTCTGAGAGCAAATAAGAGATACTGCGAGGTCATAGATCTCGCGGCGGTCGAAGACTTCGAGTTCGATCTGTTGAGCAAATGAGAAATACTCGTAGTCATAAGATCTCGGCGCGAAAGACGCCCGAGGTTCGATGCAGTTGAAGCAAAGTTGTAAATACTGTTCAACATAGAACAGAGCCGACAAGATCCAGCAAATTCGCTCTGGAAGAGGCAAATAAGAGATACTGCGAGGGTCATAGATCTCGGCGTGAAGATTTGAGGTCAATCTGTTGAGCAAATAAGAAAATACTGGCGAGGTCATAGATCTCGGCGCGAAGAACCCCGAATTTGGATGCAGTTGAGCAAGTTGTAAATAAACTCCTTTTTTTCTTCAAAACAATAGAAAACCAAGCCCCCGACAAGATCCACAAATTCGCTCTGAAGAGGCAAATAGAGATACTCGGTGTCATTAGATCTCGGCGCGAGACTTCGTAGGTTCAATCTGTTGGGAGCCAAATAAGAAATACTCGATGGTCATAGATCTTCGCGCGAAGACGGCCGCGGAGGTTCGATCAGTTATAAATATGCTTCACCATAGAACAAGGCGGCAAGATGCACAAATTCGCTCTGTAGAGGCCCAAAATAAGAAACATGGCGAGGTCTTAGGTCTGCGTCGAGAAAATACCAAGGTACGATGATGAGTAAAGTAGGAAACACTAGGGATATAGAGAAGAAGTCCTGAAATAAGGAGAGAGGAGCGAGAAACACCACGTCGACAGTCAAGTTCGCTCTTTGTAGAGTATAACCCGGTCTAATAAGCAAATTGAAAAAGAAAGACAGGTCCGCCAACGAATCCGATTAACGAGAACGAAAATAATGTTAAGAAACTGATAATAGTGGCGATTTAACTAGATTTAAAACATTTCTTTCCAAAATTAAATAAGGGCGCTACTGAAATGTGTAATTGCTGCGGCGGATTATGGTTTTCCCACCAAGTTCGCAAATTAAATTTCGAACTATTGCACAAGGTCAGCGCCGAAATGTTTCATCCGCCTTCGTATTTATGGGAAAGATTTCCTTCGAAGATGGAATTAGCAATTTTGTGGGCTGCTTGCAAAAATGGGCGATGTGGTTAAAAGAACGTTGTTAATATACGCAATTTCTGTTAACATGTGCATCTCAGAGCAGAGAGAAAAGAATTTAAAAAGAACGCAAAATACTTAAGGAAAAGTACTGATTTATATAAATTTAAAATATTAGAAAAAAGATTATTGTATAACATAAATTTTAATTTTAAACTAGCGTTAGACTGCTAATAAGATACGGAAGAGATGAGCTATTGTTAAGAAACCATGCCAATGAGAAAAAGGGGAGAAGGTACTCACTGCCATTGGTTTGGTACATAAGAGATCGCATCATCATTCCGAGGAGGGGCAGGCAGCACGGAACCTTTTGGGTGCCCACTATCAGGAGACATAGATGGCGAATCTATGGTCTTCAATCGCCCACCCTCATGCATCAAAACTGTGTTGTTATTTCTAATTGCTGTCGTAGTCAATGATGATGGGCCTACTTGTGGTGGATTTACTCTATATCGCGCTTATGCACCACTACTTCGAATTTAGCATTACCGTGCACTTTGCGATATTCCATATATGCACTGGTAATATAACTATACCGCGTCTATATGAAGAACATGATGAGCTAGATTGGCGTAACCTCTTTTCGCGTTTTACAAACTACAACGGGAATAACGACTTGAGTGATGATTTCTTCCGTGAGGAAATTGATGTGGATATGAGCGATTCTGAAAGTTTCGCAAGAATTGATGTACCCGATTTCAAAGATGGACGGCGGGGACGTTTTATGCATGATTTTAAAAAGAATCAATCGGCAATTATTGATACCACAGCAAATCGCTGTTTCATAATGCCACTTGACCGTGACACCACATTACCACCAAAGAGTTTTGTAGATTTAATGCAAAAGATGGGCTCGGGATACTACAACATCGACACTGATCGCGTACGTCGCAATATGCGTGTAGTTACCCCGCCAGTAACTGATCTCTCAATGATCTCAGAGCGAATTGCAAACGAATGCTATGATATGAGAGTTTACATGATGGAGAACTACGTTTCAGGAGTATTTAAACGTGAAGCTATTCCTGTGGCAGAAACTGACAGGTTCACTGAATTCATGGGCAAAGGTGTCGTTGAATTTAATTTGATAAATATGAATGATATAGAGGAATTTGAACGCAAACAGCAGTAAAATCATTCAAAATTTGTGTAGAAATCTTATACGTTAATGCCGGTGCTTGCAAGCATTTTTGTAGAATGTAGTTTGTATGATTGTAAAACTTGATGTTGATAAATGGACGGCTATATTTAAATTTAATAACCGAAAACAAAATTTATTTTTCATATATAATTAATTACTCTTATTGTATATTTTTATTGCAAATTATTGTATGGAGGATATATGCTAAATATTTTATATAAATATATTTGATTTTTTTATTATTTCAAAATTATCATTACTAAAACATTGTATTCCATCGACTTGTATTAATTTTATTATTACTAAAAATATATGAAAATTAATCATGATTTTTTAGATAGATTAAAAATTGTATTTTATATATTAACATCCGACTTTATTATATTCACTTGCGTACATTTCTTAAATAAAATTGAAATAACAATCAAAAATGCATCAAGTTAAGCGATCAAGTATGGTTAACAAATTCAACAAAAACAAAAAGAAAATTTAATGACAAACAATTTGAGCATACAAACAAAGCAAAAGTATTGTATTTTAAAAAACCCGAAATATCAATTATTGTGCATAAGAAACAATTGCGTACCTAAAAGAAAATTAATTGTGACAAATATTAAAATCGTGTATGTAAATCTCAACATGCATCTGTATGTAATAAACTCGCAGTTCGGCAGAAGTAACATCTGTTGGTATCAGGTGGTGGTATGTTCAGAAAATTAGTAGAGTCTTCAATAATATGACTACATCATAAAAATCAATACTAAACTTCATTGTCGCACTGGTTATACATTATAATTATTTCCTATTACAACTTTACAAAAGATTTTAAGTAGTAACATACTTTATATATTCCAATGTACTATAATAATTATTAAATAAAATATAT